GCTTTGAGTGTTTTTCTACTGGGGGGATCTGTTTGGCTTGATTGATATTGATCTCTTGATCGTGAAATTAGAAACTTAATTTTTGTTTTCTAGGTTGATTTTGTTATTGAACGAAGAAATATAAGTTATTTTTCCCTATTTGATTTTGTCTTCATTTCTTTTTTTTTTCTTTGATTTTTGGTTTCTCAAGGACTGTAAGAATCGAGCATATTTCTTATTTTCTTGCATAGCTATGTAGAGTTTTCATTTGAGGTTCCTTCTTACGGTCCATCGTGTTTAACTAAATAAAACAAAGAAAGAAAATACCTTTGTTAACTGTCTTGCCGCAGTCCTAACGTTGAATTACTAGTTGTTTATTCTAACTCAAATTCTTTGTTTTTTGGATCTTTGACTTCAGTAATACCTTCTTTACTAGGGTTTTTTTTTTTTATGGATCGATTTGTTTAGCAGCACAACTTGTTGCTATGATCAATTAAAAATATTTATTCGTGGAATATGTTATTGGAAATTTTCAAACCTTGGGATAGCAAAGTCACACTCTTCTTAAATTGGCTTAGTTGATTGGCCATTTTGAATCCCAATTCACTTTATCCTTATTAGCACCAACGCTTAGGTCAAACTCACACCTATAAACTACTCTCTTTGGTTCTTCCAATTTCATTTCATATGCATAGATACAATCTTCTTGGTTAAATTGATAGATCTTATCATTTCCTACCACAAACTCTACCTAACATTGATAATGTTCCGAACATATATATTTGTTTTTGGTTTGCTAGGACCAACTTATCCTAAGCTCCACAATGAGTGCATAAGCTCCACAATGAGTGCACTCTCCCCAAACTTTATACTTTTCATTGCATCTTATATATCACTTGTAGCATGAAATACTTTGATCAACATCAATCTCCAACCATCTCGAGGATGCATTACCCAATTTAAAGGTCTCAATCAACAAGGCCATTCAACACATTAATGTCTTAACTTCATTCAATAGAACATTACTTTTCACATCACCAAAATTGCTCTCCTCATTTCTCATGTTCCATGTTCCTCTTATAACCTTATCTTCTTGCACCAATCGATTGCCCACCACCACTACCAATTGTGTTTTTGATATAGATGCTTCGTACCATTTATATTTGGCTTACAAAGGCTCTCCCTTAAACTTGAATACCCTACCATTAAAAGTATTCATATTGTTGATGACACCAAAGTTCCCGTCACTCAAATTGGTTCAACAACTCTCTCTCTCTAAAAATAATTCTTCTTTAAAAAAGATTTATGCATACTCTATAAAAATATCTTATATTGATTTGCGGCTTCTGTTTTATCTATTTCGGTACTCAATGCAGTTTTGTTGCAAACAACATCACTATACAGGGGTATGATAGTCATTTATCCAGCAACAACTGCCAATAAGCTGTTCTGAATAAGCTCCCTCAATTAACAAGTCAGCTTATCCTGATAATCTGCAGATTATCAGATTGTCAGAATAATTTGTTTATCAGCAGATTATATATAATCTGCAGCTGCCCCAAACAGTAAATTCGTCTAGGGTTGTCACAAGTCTTTATAACAGAAGGTTTTTAACCCCTGACATAGATGCGGTGATTTCACATCACCCACATGGATAACTTGTTTATCAACTACATTAAATTTCCAATATTTAATCAGTCCACCAAAACATGACAAGTGTTAATATAATTCTTTTAACATTCCTCTGTTAGATATTATAAGTTTATGATGGGTAGGTTTAGACAAGGTGTCTACCTTAATGTACAGTTTGCAAAGTAAGGGATTGATAAAGAGTAATGGCAATGCTAAGATTGAAGACTTGACTAACTCAAGATATTCTTCCATGTTATCCATGATGATAAATTGAAAGCACTTAAACCTTTTTTTCTTATCACCATAAATGACCAGTAATCTTTTGAAATTTCATGTTGGCGTCGTGCTCTTATGTTATGCTCATAGAAACTGTATAACAAAACTTTATTTTGTTCTTGGTAGATGCACTCATCCACATTTTTCAGCTTAACTAGTATTTAAGATTACTACTAGTGGAGTAGTTTTTTTTTGTTTTTGTCTAACAAAGTATATGATTTGGGGCATGGAGTCATTACATTTATCTTTGTTTTATTACTTGTTTTTTTTCCAAAATATCAGAAGTGCTGGCACTGAAGTCTTGTTATTCAAGGAAGAATGAAGGCTGAGAGAACTGAAGTGAATGTTCAAGTGTACAACCAATGCTATTGTTGAATAACTAGTCTAACACATGCGTTGATAATTCAATGATGCTGAAGAAGATGCAGTGAAGCTGAAGTTTTCATAAATCTTTTTTATGTAGATGATTTTTTTGATGTTTATAACTAAAGTTATTAGTGCAAAACATTTGGCTTTCTATTGCTGCAATAAAATTTGTTTCATATCAAAATATTATTATATATATCATATTCGATCAAAAAATAATATTATTATAATTTATAGTGTAAATTGTAAACACTGCTCAACTTTGTGAACTTTTTTGTAATGATGGATCAATTGATCAATTACTTGTACGTGTTGTGCTTGGTATGAACCCTTTGTTTGTGAGATATATTAAAGGATTGATTATATTTTTTTGCTTCGTCATAAAATACATGATGAGTGTGCAATTATGTTTGGTTTAGGTACCTCAAAAAGTTTGTTGACAGGAAAATCATGAGTTTAAATGGTAGTTCTAATGAAGATATTCATTTTTTTCATAATACTTATGTCTTATTTTTTTTATTGGACATGTGATGTCTAGCCCTTACTTTGCCATCTCTCACATGTGATTGGATGCCGAGCATTAGCTTTCCTAACCTCAACCATGGAAATGGATACATTGTCAAGGTGAGTGTCTAGGAATTACCCTCAATATCGTCACTTACTCTCACTTGTATTTTTTTCATCTTTAAGGCATACAAAGATGCTTATCTCTATGTTAGTTCCATCCTCTTTTATGTTCTTTTCATCTTTCATGTCAAGAAGGGTTTAAATATTTTGATTATGGGAGGATTTGAGAGTCCCAAGAAAGTTCAAAGTTGGTATTTTTCTTTATTTGCCTTAAAAATTAAAAAATCATTAAGCGCCATGTAATGCTTAGGCCAATTCAATATTCCGAGCTTGTTCCTCTAGCTCAAATTAGAAATGATCTAAACGGTCTCTAATCTTTGTTCTTACAATGATTGATCGAATATAGTTCAATTATGATTAAGTCATTGCAATGAGTTAAATTGTACTCTATGAGACATTCTTAGGTTTAGTCATTTGTAAGCTTAATTAGAATCTTAATCTAGTCCTTAAACTATGCTGGGTAGTATTCCATAGGTTGACAAGATGACACAATTGAGATAATCAATTAAGAAGACACTTTACATCTCTCAGTCCTTCATTTTATGTTTGACAATCAATTTAGAATTTATTAAAGTTAGCTACATATCTATCATTCTCAATTCTAATTTAACTCTGATTGAGCCTAATGGTCTTCTTTTAGATCCAAGCCCTTATGCACCTTCTATAATGGTATGTTTTTATGAACTTGATGTGTGTCAGAAGGTTCGCGATGTTAGAGTAATGATTTATTATCTTAGCATTATGTGAGAGTCCAGTACGCACACATATATGAAAAGAGCGGTAGGAGGATAAATCTCAATTTTTACGTGGCAAACCTTGAAAATGAGAAAAAAAACCACAGGCCTAGTCAGCTGAAATAATCTACTATGAATTTTTAGTACACGGGACAACTCTTCTCCTTAATAAGGGAAGATAGACTTACAAAGATGATCATTGTAAATGTACAATAGCGAATCATTGATAATAACAGTAGTTTGATTATAATGAATGGAGTTCTTGATGATAGTAAGTTGCAAGGGCAATAGTCGATTGCTATGGAGGTCATAGTCTGTCGTGAATATTATAATTTGTGGTCGTAGCGCCAGCTTATCTTATAGGTTATCGTTTTCCATGTGGGTCGCAGATATTTGCTTCAGGAGCATCATTTGCCCACAGAGTAGTAAGAAGCAGTAGAAGTTGTGAGCTACATATGCCGCAGTTGGTCACATGGGTCGTGGTGGTGAGTTGCGATGATGTTCGTAGGCTGCAGAGGCTTGAGTTGGGAGTTGCACTTGCTAGGAACCACATAGGTCGTAGTTGGTCACGTAGACCATAGTGGTGAGTTGTGGTGACGTTCGTAGACCACGAGGGTCAAAGTCAGGAGTTGCATGATCTATGAACCACATAGTTCGTAATTGGTTAAGTAGACCATAATGGTGAGTTGTTAGATCGTAAGGGTCGGAGTCAGGAGCTGCACGAATTGTGAACCACGTAGGTTGTAGTTGATCATGTAGGTTGTAATTGGTCAAGTAAGCCATAGTCGTGAGCAGTGGCGACGTCCATAGGCTATAAGGGCTGGAGTTGGGAGCTCTAGGCCATTGTTGTGAGTTGTGATTATGTTCGTAGGCAGCATGGGGCCATAGTCGAGAGCTGTACGAGCTATGAACCATGTAAGTCATAGTTAGTCGCGTGGGGCGTAGTGGTGATTTGTGATGACATCCGTAGGTCGGGGGAGCCGTAGTCGAGAGTTGCACGAGCAGTGAACCACGTGGGTCATAGTTGGTCACTTTGTCTGTAGTGGTGAGTTGTGGCAATGCTCGTAGGTTGTGGGGGTAGATGACGGGAGCTGCTCGAGATGTAAACCACGTGGGTTGTAGTTGGTCATGCTGGCCGTAGTGGTGAGCTATGGTAACGTACATACGCCGTGGGGGCCAGAATCGGGAGCTGCACAAGCTGTGAACCACGTAAGCCTTAGTTGGGCATATTGGTCGTAGTGGAGCTGTGCTGACGCCCATAGGTTGCAGGGGTCATAGTTTGGAGCTGCACGAGCTGTGAACCATGTAGCTCATAGTGGTGAGCTGTGATGACGTTTGTAGGCTATGGAGGTCGAAATTGAGACTTGTACGAGCTGTGAACAAAATAGGACGTAGTGGTGAGCTATGATGACGTCCGTATGTTGTAGGGGTAAGAGTTTGGAGCTACAAGAGCTGTGAACTACATAGGTCATGGTTTGAACTCCACTGTCGATGGTGATCGGGGTTCGATGGTACCCCTGGAGGACAGTGTATCTCGTGACATACGCCGTCTTGATTTTAAAATTAATATTATCATAAATTTAATTGAAATTTTAATAATTTTTTTTCATTTTTATTAAGTTTGATACTCATTGTTAAGTGAGGACTTTTTCATTTTTTTTTAATTGTTATGTATTAGTTTTCTGTTTCTATAGTATTTGATATATTGCAAGACAATTCGGTTACAAACAACATTACTTAACAGCGACAGAATGATCATTTATTCACAAACAACTGCAATCAAAACAATCAGCTAGCTTATCAGTAGATTATTCAATAAGCTACAGTTGCCCCAAATAAACCCTTATTGTGATGGAGTTTTGTTTTGTTGAGCCAATAAATTTGATTGTAAATTTCCTAAAATAGAAGTTCTCGAAGAATTATAATTGAAATTTGAAGGTTCCTTACTCAAAAAATTATCTCAGAATTCTGGCAGTGTCTTGAGATCCATACTCGTTGAATTCCAACCGAAGTATAGGCTTTATCATCCTCAACAGTTTCTTTCCTGCTAGTAAATGTCATTTTGTTGTTTAGGTTGACATTGCTGCCTTGGCGTCCAATAAGTCTTCGTAGTTCCTCTTTGGAAACCTATCAAATTAATTGATTGATATGTGGTAATAAATCAGTTAATGAGACGTTATGCCCCCATTAGAAAGCACATTAAATAATTCATTTTATGGAAAGAAATAAGTTGTTTTAATTCCCCCATGGGTACTTGTTCTGTAAGTGCAAATTTGGCAATAATTGCTTAATTCTTGAGCGATGATACTGTAATAAATAAGAGAATTAATGAATTAACATATGCTCAGTGTTACCAAGATGGAGGAAACCGTATGTTTCGCAAAATTTAGACCACGTTTGATGCAATTTAACGATTTGAAGAAAAAAGTTCCATATTTTAACAAATCAAATTAGTTTTTAGCAAGTCGCCAGATTGTCTCGTACCCATATTCATAATATTCTCACAGACGATGATAGAGAAAGGGCTGTAATACTGATGTACCCAGTGCTGCAAGAGGTTATATAGAGGGTTATATTCACGTTATATCTCCGGTATTATAGAGTTATATTCGTGTTATATCTCTTGCAACTTGTCTGTAACCTACAAATATATGAAAACAGAAGCACAAAAATTATTTGTAGGTTACAGGTAAGTTACAGGGGTATAATGAAGATATAATCTCTCAATACCCTCTGGATAACCTTCATAACATACGTAACATTGCGTACGTCTTATGTACGCAATATTTTATCGTAATAGCTAAGATAACTTTGCGGCGAGTTACTTGCTTCTACATATCGACAGAATCCCTCAATTTGTCCCAAAATAGATTTAATTAAATAATCAAAGTAAT